GTGAGTATCGCCATTCTTAGCACCACACAACAACTCGTCAAAGAGACAAGTGAAGCCGATCCTTTGGCCAAACTTGTGCTAAACAATTATGGTATCTCCCCTTCTGCCCTGGGTTATTCGCGTTTCCGGTATCCTATCATTCCTTCTCTATTACCATTTTTACTGCGTTTATTTAGATATCGTAAAAAAATTTATTCAATTTTACTTGGTTTAATTGACGAAAAGGCACACATCTCTGCAGAACTACTTATTCGATACTGGTAGATCGGAGTAAATTGTTTAAGAAATATAAAAGATAAATCTTAGCTTTGAACCACATGCAGAACAATAAAAGATTGTGTTAAATACAAAAATAGTTTTATTGTCGCTGACCATTATAATATTAAATAGGGAAAGGAATGTCTAATGAAACCGATCAATTGCTATATATATATATAATTCTCATATTCGTAATATTTGTTTAGGCTTACTTAAATTGAGCTATGAAGAACGAGATGGTGTGGCCTCTGTTTTTTTCACAGTCTACTTTCGATGTGTAAAAGTGATCCGACCCTGTTTTCGCAACTTGACTGTGTTGTCAGTGTGATCTAATTAAACGCATCTTTTCTGAACTTCTCTGCTATACAAGTTGTGATAATTTCAAGCTTTACATTGGGGACTTGGCACATTCACAGACCTTTCGACGACAACATAGTCGGCATCGCCAGTGAGTTTTGTTATTCTTAGCACCTAGTTACAATTCGTCAGAGACAAATTAAGTTGGCCAATTTGCCGAACGACTGTGCTATCACTCTTTTTGTCCTGACTTATCTATCTTCTTCTTACCCTCTTCGCTAACTCCCACTGCAGGAGATCAGAGATAGACTTTCACAGTTTGTTTAGAGTTTTCGGGTTGAATTTTACAGATCATCCGGTGAGACAATGTCTGCTATCTACAGAATTTGGGATCAGAGCCTGGGTGCTCTGTTCAGGGAACCCACAGTATACTTGCTACCATAAGCTTGTAAAAGACCGCCTTGTACTAAACTTATATTGTGACTGGAACCGAGCAAAATTATTTAACCTGTAGGAAAGGTACAGTTTTCCGGGGCCATTAAGGAGATTCAGATAAGAGACCAGAGTCTGATCAGCGATTCTGGCAAATCAAGATATAAGGGGAGCAGAATAAACAAGTGGATTTACAATTGTTTGTAGGCTGAGTCCCCTAAACTGATTAGTCATATGGTTAATGCAGGATAGTAGGTGAGTGCCCAAATCTAGTTAGTCTAACTTCAAAATGTCGAAATTATACGCTGCACTACTCAGGCTTGATTGCTGCTGGGATCCAGGCGAGAGCTAAACTGCAGTCGACTCTGGATGCAAGTATCTTTTTGGAAGCAAGGCTAAGTGAAATTTAACGGAAGCATGAGACCTACTCAAAACCTTTAGTAGAAATTTTACCTATTCGTTTTTCATCACCTTATGCGACCTAGGGTGGCTAGAACTCTTATTCACTTATAATACTTACGTTAATATCCATTATAAGCCAATAAAGTGGGTAATTTCTCGAATATTAGGGTATAAGAAAGTGAGCAGGATTTGTCTCAGTCTTGGGTATAATTAGGGAGAGGACATCACGAATTATCCATTAGGTTAAGGAATGATTAGCCTGTAGTTTGATCAGGCTTTACATTGATTCATTAGGATTCCACACCTAATATGATCATATTATGGAGCTTTCTCAGTATCGAAGTATCTCTATGGATCCTATTTACTGGTACTTTTTCTATATTTATGATGCCTTCTACGTTTATAATGAATCCAGTCCATGTTCTTTAAAAGAGCGCTTATGCTATCATTTAATTATTTAATTCTTTTATTTTATATTTATTTGACTGCCTCCAAGGTCTTCCAATCTAGCTGAATTTTTTAGATTTTTATCATGGGTTCCTCTGGTTGACTACTTTTCGTTGCTAGCTTCTTTTATTAAGACTTATTTTCCCCATCTACATTCATATATCCTTATTTCCTCGGTCTTCATTCCCATCTTCAATTTACTTGTCTCATTTACTCATTGCTTTGTTCCTTATCCGTGTTTCTCTTCTGGTCCTATATTGAAGCGTCACAACCGCTTTTTGCATGCAGGCTAGTTGTACTATTTCTAATGAGCAAGATAAATAGGTGAAATCTATGCAGGCTCAAATGTATATTTATATTTTCTCTCTCTTTAAGTCCTGTTTTCTTTTAGCACGATTTTTAGGGCTTAAGAGATAGATGAAGGAACTGAGTGGATGAATTGATGGCGGCACATAAGATTAATCTTACATGCTGACTGACCCTTATCTTAGGGGCGGATATCTGACCTTTGTCGACTTACTAGGTGTCATATTCTCCTTCCACGATCCCCTAGCTTTGCGTTTTTCTATGGCGCCGCACGGATCAGATAACAAGTTACCCTCAAGGCTTCTTTTTGTTAAACCACGCCTCTAGTCTGGCGTCCGCCCTTTCTCATTCTTAACTTTCTATCCCTTTTTTACCTCCACCTGAATGAAATCCTAATATCCTCTCTATTGTCTCCCATCCTGCTTCGGACTTGTCACTTTGTCTCCTATTTCTTCTATACTCAATGCTTATGCATCATCGCCCTTTAATCATGCTGCATTTATATGGGATCTCGATTTCTAAATTCTCTTCTGCTTCAGTCCATCTTGTGACTACTGTCACTCCAGATTCATTAATACCCTCATGCGAAGACGGGCGGTGAGCACGTGTGCGCTATTGTCCTTCTTTGTTTCGTCTGTATGTCTTCTTGAATCTTGTAATTGGGGGTTTGAATTATGCATGGGCCACTGGTGCCATCTATTTTCGCACATCTGAGTTGTACCTCTACTTTGTAAACTCAGCATTCTTTCTCACACGATCACACACCCATACACACATACACATTCACACGAACTTACATACACAAACACATCCGCACATAAAAAACCAATACACGAGCTGCTTACTTACGACATATTTTCACCATCGACAAGTTCATTTAACCGCTTTCGGACGACTAAAATCTTTTTAAATAGTCTGATTTATTCGTTCAACGATTAGTCCTGTCTCTTTTTTATTTATAATGTCACCATTTTCGACCGGGTATTCAAACATACCATATAAAATATGATAAAGACTCAACTTGCTCACTCAAGTTGCTTCATTTGAAGGGACTTAAGCGTTGTTATTTTGGTTCTAACCTTCTATAAGGTTTTATAATGTATTTCGGGGCTTATCATAGCTTGCTTACTACATATTTTTTATTATATACTATTTGTGAAAGCACTAAATTTCTAGATGGCATAAAGAAAAGCTTGGGGATAAAGTCATCATAATCCAGCAAGCATCCACATAAGTGTTGTTCAGATAGAAGTTCAAAACATATCCTAGGATTGTTTCTTAATAGCAATAAAAACCAAACTCAGCAACAATTCACAAAGATTGAGGACGTGGTTCACCCAGGGAGAGTATTAGAAATAGTTGAAAATTTTGAATATCCTATTCCTCTTTATGTGCTGGTATGGCTCTGGTATTAAGGATTTAGTATTATATTTTAAATTCTCGCTTTTTAATTATCTATTGAATTTAGAATGTTCTAGTAAAGGAAAGGGATAATTTAATCTGAGAAGCCACGAAATGCATTATGTACCTATTCTTTCTGTTTTTTTTCGATTTGCGCATACAATATATTTTATTTTCCTTCATAAAATGCCTTTATCATATCGCTCAGGTCTCATATCTGGTCGTTTATATGTCAAGTATGCACTATTAATATACGCACATATATTAATTTTTTTTGTCTCCGGAATGCTAATACCGTTTCAATGATGTTTCTTGAGTTCCTCATATGCTCTCTTTTTCGTCTGTTTTTATAACCCATTTTCAGTGTTTCATCCTATCCTTTCTGAGAAATCACATTTATAATAACTTCTTAACAGGCATTCAGGCACCAGCTTCACTTTAACCAATAAATTATAAAGTCTTAGTTTTTGAGATTATTCTTATCACTTATCTCTTCATGATTCGGTATCAAGCGTAGTTTCTTTTTTATCATCCTAGTAATTATTATAGTAGTTTCTGCATCAAGTTTTACTCATTTTATCAATATTTCTAGACTAGTTAAAATTCAAACGAGTTCAATTGTTGTGTATGTTATAAGATTCAGAGGATGCATCGGATTTTCATTAGTCAGATGATTTTGGTCTATATTAAAGATCCTGAATCTTGACAGGACTGCTTGCAGCTTTTTTTCTTGAGAACATTAGGCTTGTTTCTTGTATTAATAAGCCTGTCTTCATACCATCGTGTTCTGCTTCACTCCTTTATGATGGACCTCAAAAACCTAAAATGCCTAGCTGATTAAAAGTTAATTTTATCTGCAATTTTGTGCTATATTTTTTTAGTATTTTAACTGGCTATCATTTTACTCACTTAATCGGTTAACTATACACTTTAGCGAAGAAATAGGCAAGCAGGTAATTGTCCTAGAGCAGGATGAATTTTTATTATTCTTTTTATTTTCCCATGGAACACTTAAAAATATTATTCCTGCCCTTATTAAACCAATTGTATTACTTTTACTTATTATTTTTTATCTCATTTTCTTTACTTTTTGCTCCTAATCATCCTTCAGGTCGAGGAAAAAATGCAGATTCTCAACAGCGGTTGGAGTGAGATTGTTCTTCTAGAGTATCTACACTGCATGTTGTTACACTTTCATTGCCCTACTCCTGGTTCTGAGCTCTCTAAAGTTGCAGCTGTTCTGTCCTCTAGGCCAACCAAGGATTCCAGCAACAACACAACTGCTTCTTCTAATACGAACTTTTCTACCACTCTTGTATACACATCTACTTCGGTCCCTGATTCGGCAACAGCTGAGTCCGCAGGCTGCACTAACGACTTTGTCCCTGAAAGTAGACGCGAATCTAATAACTTTTGTTTGGCGGAGTGCTCTGCCAAGCCTTCTTCAAATCCGTTTTTCATAGCTGGTGATAACTCTTGCAGGCCATCAGCGACCGAACGCATCTGGGCTGACAAGCTTGAGGTTATTCTTCCTTTCTCGTATATTTGGGTGTTTCTTGTTTTTTTCATCATGACTTAATTATTTATTCAGAAGGAAGGCATTATCATCCGTATCATAATTATCTGCTTATTTTGATGGCATTTTCATTAAATTTAAACTAACTCTATGCTTTAATCATAAAACCCTTCTGGTTTCGTTATTGCATAAATTATATCAATGCCACTTCTATATAATTTTCCCAAAATATCAGGGTAGAGATAACCCTATGAAAGCGATCAATTATATGCGTTCAGGAATATTCGCTTGAATGCTTTTTCTCTTATGGTTTTTCTAATATCATCAAACCATATTCACATAGTTCTTAGTAGGCCATTTGCTAGGTCAAAGCAGTCACTTGTATTTAAACCTGGATAGGTTTACCCCTCTTTTCCCCTTTTTAATTTCGCTAGTCTTCTCTCTCTCTTTGTATCATTTATGCTAATGCGAATTACATCTGCTTACAAATGATATAAATAGCATCACTTAACCTTCACACACTTCTCATATTTTGCAATAACTAAGTATGTATGTATGCTATACCCTAGTCTCTTGTGTGCTTACCCACAAATGTTGTGGTTCAACAGTGAACCTAAAAAAAGCCAGCAGAACCACAACATTTGTGGGTTGGCACACAGGCAACTAGGGCATTGCAAGTCATAGACTTGGTATTAGAAATAGAGACAGGATAGACGAGGCGGCGATTAGAGCTAGTTGGCTGACAGTAGATTTTACAAGAGACGTAGTCCATCTAGCAAAGGCATGACCAAGAGACTTACTCTGAGGCAATAGCCTCTAATCAATCGCCCAGGTGCCGGAGATGGACGAATTACGCATCGAATAGCACAGATGGGGGGCAGGGGTCGAGTGAAATACATGTACCAGGGAGATAGCAGACGGATTCGACTGGGCAAGAGGGAGACTTTGATAGGACTCAGGGAAGGACTACGTAACAATATGACAGACTAGTCAAAATTCCTATCAAAAGGGTTAAGGGGGTGATACTGACAGTGTGGAATGTGAAAGGGTTTTAATGAATGCCGCTCGAAGGAGCACACCATACAACATAAAAAAATAAGCACGGTAAAAAATTGTGTCAGGGAAGGCATGATAGGAGGATATAGAAAATGTGAATAGGTTAGGGCACAAGGGGAGATACCATAACTGTTTAGCACACGTTTGGTCAAAGGAT